ATGGTTGGTACTTTGCTAACAATGTTTCAAGTGTGTTAGCACTGAATTTGAATTGGTTTTCTGTGGAAAGTTAACGACATTTTAGTCCCTTCAGCGTTGTACTGAATCTTTCCTTTTCCAGGCTTTGACGGGGTTAACCGAAAAGCGGGAAGTGCTGACTTTGTTCCTCAGCAAATTGAGCTTTTGCTCTCTTTGGTTGGTCCGGGCCTCGATGGAGACGGGACACTATCGGTTTAGCCGATGCACCAAAATTTGTGGCAGACTTTGGGTCTTGCCACGGGAAATGTTCTTCCCTTTTTTAAAGATGGTTCAGTGGTTTTTATATATTTATTGAAGAAGGCACATTGAAAGCTGGATAAATGTACCGACCGCCTCGGTCCGCGTTGCTAAGGACGATGCCCTTCTGGGCGGTGCTCTAGGGCTCGCGACCACCCAACATGTGGTTCACATGTGGGTGGTCGCAACAAAGAACGTCTACGAACAAAGGGTCGCGGAGAGTCGCGACACTCCCCACGCCAACAAGCATAAAAATTTCACGTTTTAACAAAATTTATCATATCCTTGACTGCTGCTTGTTCGATTGACGTGGTCGTTCATTGAAGTTGTTCGTTTACGCTGGCTGGTCGGCTTGAAGTCGTGGTGGATTGGTGGTAGAGAAGTTGAATATTGGTGATAGAGAAGTTGAATAGCGTAGTGAATGTGTAGAGTCGTGGGAAATGGAGTGGTTGGGTGGCGTAATAGTGGAGTACAGTTGAAGTGTGAAGTGAAAGGGAATATTGTAGTTGGAGTAGTCGAGTGATGAATTAATACTTTCTTTTCTTAGTGAAAGTATTCGCTTTCACCGGGCACAATAAAGCATTGTGGGGTTGGCGGCATATTCCGCACATGACCCTACACGCCGCTTCATGTGCCGGCTTTAGGCACTGCCCGCAGAGTCCCATTTTTGACACTTGAAACGTACGTGTGTACGTATTTGGGAATCTTGGGCAGCGCCCGCTCGGGTGAGAATCAACATTCTCTTCCAGCGTGCAAAATAAGCAGGCGGAGCGTGGAGTGGAACGCTCGACCAGCTTTTCCAGAGCAGGCTTTAGGCTGCTGAATTCTTCCAGAGAATTCTGCATAGAGGATAGCCTGGAGAGCGTGGCTTCGAATTGCTCTACGCGAGCAGATATAGCTGCAGTGAATTCATCGAACTTGAAACGAATAACGTCGCTCTTGTGGTCGAGAGTCTTGAGAAGCTCCGTCTGGAGCTGGTCGTCGTCGAGCAGCGGATCGTACTTGGGCCATATTTTTGGCTTTTCCTCATCCATATGGGCTTTTATATGGGTACCTCATTGTTTATAAATTTGGTACCCGCCTTGGTGTACTGTAGCTCCACCCACTCATGTTTTATTTGAGTATATACATTAATGTACATTGTTAATGAGTGGGATATAATTGATAATATAAATCGACCATTGAATAATGCCATGGTAGGTCAATTTTGGAGTTGATTCACATAATTCTTTACCCGCCTTGTAGCGGATATAGTGAATCGAATGCTAATCCATGCCACTTTTAAAATGGCAAGTGCGGATTTTGCGATGTATATCGCGATAATTGGGAGTATCTTAATTAACACCACAATAATTATTGGGCCAAACACATAGGTGAGGCCTACCGCAGTCATTACTGCTAGTGCGGACATCAACGTCACTTTCCAATATTTTTTCATATTGTGCAAAAGCGGTTGAATATCTGGTATCCTTAAACTTTGCAACCAGTGGAAGGGTTGCGATACGTAGGTATCTTTTTCATTAAAGATACTGCCGGTGTTTCTCATTTCATGGAAGGTCAGGGTTCCTTCCATGACTATGTTCTTTTGCTTACCATCACAGATCGTGTGGCAGTTCTTTTGAATGACGGCATAATTGAAGTTCAGGTTTACTGTAGTATTTTTGTTCGCAGGATTACATTCTATGGAGAATGTTTGCTCTTCACATTGAATTGTGATCCAAGATGCGATATCGGTTTTGCATGAAATTTGGATTTGAGCGCCTTCCATGCATTCATAGCAGCCAAGTATTTTTTCAAAGTGGATTTCACATGGTTGCTTGATGACATATTCGCTAACGTTAATTAAAGCGTTAGATTGAAGTGCTAGGATTACCTCCGCTTCTGTGGAAGACAAGATTATTTCCTTATTCCTAGTATTGATTTGTGCTGTTGGTGTATGGATAGGCAGCATATCAATGACTTCTGACCTGATATGCGATATCGATTCTCTAGGACAGTGGCAGCTAGCTTTCGACCGCGAATCATGGCAAGTGCACTCAAAATGAGTGCTGCAATTTTGAAAGTTATTGATAGCTGCTCGTTCTGTTGTACATTCGACAGGAATTTCATAGTTGTCGGGTATCATAACAGAGTCCTTGGAGCTTATCGCGAACCTTCGGTTCATCATAGGGGATTTGGGCTGTTGAATGGAAACAACAGTCATTTTCAAGTCTCCAACCGTTTGTTCAACGTAGGGCTGCAACACGTATCGAGCTTTTTTCGCAGTGTTGTACCAGATCGTGTGCACCTCTAGCGTGACTACTGGCTTCCATTCCAAGCAATCTACTACTTCGTAAGCGGTTTTCGATCTAGGTTGATGTACAAACCTATAAAATGAGCATGAGGGTAGTGGTAATAGACAGCCGCATGCGAGTCCTCCGCATGAGGATGCGCATACGGAATACCCTGGATACCTTCTCGATGCACGCAATTCCGGAATGATTTCATCTCTATGGAAGTGGCTGCATCTTTCATCAGAGCAGGATCCCATTTCTGGGCATCGCAGTGAGTGGTATATTTCTGGAACCGAATCTCTAGTAAAGAAAAGTGATCTTTTAGAGCACGTGAGCTTTATCGGATGGTGGTACAGCTTGATCAGCCCAACCGTTTCGTTTCCATGGTTAAGTTGAATACATAAATTTGAGTTGAGTCTGTTGAAGTTAATCTCTTCGTTGTACTCATATGTGCAACTGTCCCGTTGTGTGCAGATAAGGTTTACTGTATGGCGCATATACCCAAGCTGACAGGCCGACACCGTTTGTAATGAGGCAACGATGCAACATATTGTAATCAATACCGGTCTGCCCAACGGAGTAGGGTTAAATGATTGGAGTGGGATACTTCTCGACTCATTCGCAGGTATTGATTGGTTTGTTCTCCGAACTGAAACCTCTCTCCTCTTTATTTTATTACATATGGCTGTGGCAACTAAGAAAATGGTTGCTATGGCAAGATACAGTAGGAGGAAAGCCGATATAATGGCTCCTTCTGGCCAACAGTGTGGGTTTCCCAGTAAGCCTTTGGAGAGGAATTTTCGAGCATAGACGCAGAATTCCGGAGGCGAGCAGTTTTCCGATTGGGTGAACACAACGTCTCCCGTCGATGATTTCACTGTTACAGTAGTATTCCTGTCTAGAGGCGATACAGGCAGATAAATCATGACGTCTTCGGTTCGACTTGTATATTCTTTACAGTCATTTGCAAGGCAAATTTCGAACGGTTTTTCATCACTGGGAGGTGTCACTTTGACAATGCCGTCATGGCACTTTATTCGTCCCTCTGAATACTTATACGATAGCGCCGGATGTATTGTGCACGCGATAACTAGCAGCATTGCAACCAGAGTGCTACTGTAACCTGAGCGTTTAGGTTGTGGCGTCGCCTTATAATCGATATGGTGATGATTGAGGCTTACTGAGCGGTCTTCTTCGCCAGAATTCTCTAGACTTTCTTCGAAATTTTTGATGACTTTGTAAGCCAAAGTTTTTGCCTTTCTCTCAGGTGTTCTTTTTATAAGCGGAGTTTGAGGCTCTTCGCTTAATTCCTGTTCAATGTCCTGCTCATTATTGTCTGGAAAGCTTCTTATTTCCATAGGGTATAATTTGCATACTGGTTTCTGAAGTATGTGGTGGTTTGGCAGTCGGACTTTCACCGTTCGAACGTTTCCGTCATTACTGTGAATGATTTCTTCAACTTTTCCGTAAACCCAATTTCCTCGAGGGATCATTTCTTGTTCTATGAGGACGATTTCCCCAACTTGTGGGAATGGTTGTACCACTCCTCTTCTTTGCTTCTTTTTGTTTGTCTGGGTGTCTCGAAGAGAGGTTAGGTAGTCGAAGTTCCATTTTTCCCAGAATTTCAAGGACATGTTCTCCGAGTTTTCAAGTGCTTCTCTGACTTGATTTGCCGTTTGCGGGAGTTCGGGATCGTAATTAGGATCCGCAGTTTCGGCAACTGTTTGCATTTCCGGAACCGAAAATTTGATATTTCCGCAGAGAAAATCAATGGGTCTCAGCGGTATGATGCTCAGATCTGTTGTGTGCACTTTCGTGATTGGTCTACAATTGAGAATTGCTTCTATCTTTGTCATGACCGTGCAGAGCTGAATGAAGTTCAGTTTCTTTCTGCCAATAGTTTTTTGGAGTGCGCGTTTTACTGAGCCGACTAATCTTTCCCAGACACCTCCCATCCAGGGCGCACCAGGTGGATTGAAAATCCACTGAATTCCTTCTGTAGCGCAGTAAGACATTATTGTATTGTCGGTGTCTTCGTTCTCTTCGAACAACTTCTCTATGACTTTTTGTCCGAGTCTGAAGTTTGTTCCACAGTCTGATCTAACATATTTTGGAACGCCTCTTCTCGAAATAAATCGTATAAAACTGTTCAAGAAGGCACCTGCACTCAAATTTTCAACAACTTCGAGATGTACAGCTCTTGTAGTGAGGCACGTGTACAGGCAAACGTACATTTTTTCATGTGTTGGACTTTCCATGGGTCCTAAAAAGTCACACCCAACCCTTTCAAAGGTTTTTGATTCAATTACCCTGTCTTTTGGTAAAGACGGCATTTCTGGTGAAGAGAAAGGTAGGCCGTGGCATTTCCTGCAAATTACACACTGCTTTATTAGGTTTTTAATCAGCGATGATGGTCGAGGAATCCAGAATCTTTGCCTCAACATTGTTAACATTTGCTCTCTGCCACAGTGGGCATTTTTGTTGTGAATATCAGCCACAATTAACTTCGCAAGATCCGATTTACACGGAATGAATATGGGCGATTTTGTATCTTTGGGTAGACAAGCGTTTTGCAGCCTTGAAATATATCGAATTACACCCCAGCTGTCACTATGAAGCTTTTTCTGTGGATGTCTTTTTTGAAGAATTTGTATGTCATAGCCGCTTTGCTCTTGAAGAACTATGATGCGCTCGGCAACTGAGGTGTCACTGGCGTTAATTTGAGCCGCAGAACCAAATTGATCGATAATCTCAGTTCTGATGTCAGTAGAACGGTTACTATTTGTTTGACTAATCCACCTTTTGAGACCCTTACCAACTCTGGCTATGGTCCTAATTGCCTTGGAAAGTCTCGAAAATCTTTTCAGATCAATGACGATCTTAGGTTCCTTTATGATTTGAGGGTTTTCTTCTATCTCGACATTTGCGAGAGATGTCTCATTAGCGACCTCTTCTGTGGTTTCGTCCGCTATACCGTTAATCGATGTTAGAGGCCAATTGTTCTGGCTCTCTGCAAGCCATTTTGGGCCTCTAACCCAGCTATGGGTGTCAATAATCGCGGCCGAAAGACCTCTTGTTCCTGCGTCGGCAGGATTTTCGGCTGTTGGTACATAGTAGAAATTGACATCTATATCTTTCGATTTCAACTGATTCACCAGTTTCGTGATTCGCTCTCTCTGATTAGAGACGAATAATGGTAGTTTTCGGGCAGTTTTAACCCAAGCGAGTGCGACCTTAGAGTCCGTAATTATGTTGGCCTCTTTAACGGCATTCGACATACTGCTAATTATGCTTGTGCTCAGTCGTATTCCCATGAGAAGTGCTAATAGCTCTAGTCTCGGGATAGTTTGTTTATTCTTCTTCGGAGCGAGTTTAGTTTTTCCGCTAATTAACGAATTTATGTTAATTGTATTATTCGACCTGACATAAGAGCAGGTCGCCATTGCAATTTCGCTGGCGTCGCAGAATGTCCACAGGCTATACCCTGCGGATACTGGTGCCAATGCGCGAGGAATGCCTACGGAGATGTTATTAATGTCCTGGCATGCCTTGATCCATTGTTTGCTGAGATGGGACGGTATTTCATCTTTCCAATCAAGATTACAACCGTAAATTTCCCTCATTAAATGCTTCAATTTTATAAGCAATGGCGCAACTATTCCTATTGGATCATAGATAGAGTTCAGCTGGCTGACTATATCTCGCTTTGTTATTCTTTCTTTTGTGGTCATTTTTATATCCACCGAAAGTTTATCGGACAGGGTGTCGTATGGGACTCCCAGAAATTTGATCTTCCCAGCTGGACTTCTGTCCTGTAGTGGAATAGCATCGTTAACTAAGTTGTTGTTTGACACATATTCCCTGAGATTCATTCCAATTTTGGCAAACAATGCCTTGGACTTTTTATATTTGACTATGGCTTCTTCTACCGTCGAAGCTGTCAGTAAAATGTTGTCCACGTAGAGATTTCTAGCAATTTCCTCGGCTATTTCGTCGTTAGAGGTCATGAGATAGGTCATTATTGCTATATTCAGTATGCTTGGGGAAGCATTTATCCCAAAAGGTAGCCTTTTGAAACGAAATTCTAGTATGTTGCCTCTCGTAGCTGGACGTGTAACGTCTTTGAGCCACAAAAAGCGGCAGAGATCTTTGTGCGATTCAGCGATTCGTATTTGCGTAAACGCTGCCTCGATATCGCACAATAATATAATTGGTTTTACCCTGCTTGAAATTAGGATATTGTGGATTTTATTAATAAATGATTCTCCTTTGAAGATCACGTCATTTAGAGACATTTTTCCCTTCCTTTTTGAAGAAGCGTCAAACACTATCCGAAGTGGTTTTGCTTTCTCAGGGCGCCAAACCCCAGAATGAGGCATATAGTATTTGGTTATGTTGCAATCTTGCAGCTCCGGTACTCTTTCTATCACATCGTTTTTGATGTAGTTATTAATTATTTCACAGTACCATGAGCTTATCTCAGGATTATTGGTTAGTTGGTACTGTAACGCAGAAAGCCGTCTTATGGCAATTGCGTAATTATCGCACAGTTCCACCACATTGTCTTTGAGTGGGAAGGGTGCCGTTATGTAACCGTTTTTAAACGAAATCATCCTCGAAAATGTTGCGAGATAATTCTCTGCTTTGTTCACTTGATCGTTTTCATCCGAAGATATACCTAGTCCTTCAAGTTCGAACAGGTTTTGCAAAATTTTGCTCTCATCGTTGTCCACAACGGCTGTTAGACCGTATTCTATTGCGGACTCTCGCTCATAATTGTTGTCCAGTCTGCCGCGGCCATGAATTGATGGTCCGAAGACTGTTTTCGCGATGCGTAATCCCGATGGAGTCTCGGTTGGAGCATTATCCAAAATTAGCTCGTAGTAATAGTCTAATCCTACAAGTATGTGAGGTATTTGATGCTCCCCACGTACTCTTGGATTGCACACGTGAATTTCCTTCCTTCTAAGAAACTCCTTGTCCGAATCTGTCAATTTGACTGACGGAAAACCGTTTGTGATGACGGGTTTTGTATGGATTTGAAGGTTGAACTCTTCCCCATATGCATCACTTATTCTTAGATTGACAAACTTGCTTTCGAATTTCTCAACGTGCCCGCCAATTCCTGACATTGTGCACGTTTCAGTCTTGGTTATTGGGAGGCCGAATTTATCAGCAACATCCTCCTTTATTATGGTTTTCTGAGCACCTGAATCGAAGAAGAATAGCAATTGTTCAAACTTCTGTGTACTGTAGTTCCAGATGTTACCGACCGCTGTCATAAGAACTATTTGTTCCTTGCGTCGTTGCATTTACAAGCTTCACCCTTTGTTGTGTGTATATTGGCTTGATTTGAGTTGTGGCGTACATCGCTTTGTTGGTTGCGCCACGGCTCTTTGTGGGGTCGACTGTCCGTTGTTGGACGTTGAGGGGTCAATCTATTCCCCCCAGATGTTCGATTTGATCGATTTGAATCTCTGATTGTGGGGGTATTGTACCCGATACGCATAAACTTTTGTTATGCTGTTGCCCACATTGTGGACAATTAGACCATGAACAGTCAAAACTAGTGTGATTTCCAGAAAAACATTTCCAGCAAAGTTTTCTATCCTTTACTATGCCTCTTTTGGCATGGATATCTGTAACTGTTTTACAGTACGCTGACGGATGTGAAGTTTGACTGCAAAAAATGCAGCTCTTAAGAATAGATTTCTTAGGCTTCTTCTCGTGGTTGAGATTCCCTCTTTTTGACCTTCTTTCAAATCTAGGTCGATTTCTGAGTCTAGTTTCCACGAATTTCTTTGCTGTAATCTCTTTTTCTATTTCGTTCATAACATCGTCAACAGTGACGTTTTCCCTATTTTGGATCGCTATAAGAACGCTTTTACTATGTTGTACGGGAATTTTTCCAAAATTTTTTCAGTCCATAGTGCGTCTTGTATGGCGCGAATATCTTGCCTGCTGAAAACATTTGGTTGATCAGCATTCTGATTTTATCGTAAACTGTCATGCAACTTTCGGCAGAGTTATTTGCTGCTCGCATGTCTATCAGTTTTTGGAACAATTTTGGCCCTGTTGGCCGGTTTATTGCCGAATTTCT